GTAGCCATTCTAACGTCCAGAATGATTTGAATGTAAAAATGCATGCAAAGTACTTTTTTACCAATGGACTTCATTTTAAAATAAATTAGGATATTATTTTCATTTTACTTCTGAAGTCTAATCTGTGATAGCATGCAGCTTTGATGCTTTCAGTGTAGACTGACTGTTTTTTTGTTTTTGCTTGCAGACATTGTTAGCGTCTTTGATTACTGATTCCTTCATGTCTCTTTTTATTAAGTACTTTCATTGGTGAAAGAGGTTTTTTATTGTAGCTAGATAATGACACGGGAGAAGACATTGGTTTCTCTGTGTTTTTGAAGTATCTGTCCGTTCAAATGCACCAAAAAACACTTACATGGAGAGAACAGCACTTTTGTTTGTCTGTAGCACATGGTTTGCAAAAGATGCAAAGAATGCAAGAAATGCATGAAGGCGATTTATTCTGATCCAATGAGAAATGCATTATGGTCTAAGAAATGCATGTATGACCAAGAAAACGCATACACAAATTATACATTGCACCAAAAGTGTTACTGTGAAAAACGGCAAACGCTCCAATTCGAATGAAAAAAAAAAAATACATGAGAACATCAAGTTCTATAAAAATCATGCTAAACATGCAGAGGAAAATGACAGACTTCAGCTATATAAAGGAACGAATGAAAAAAAAAAATACATGAGAACATCAAGTTCTATAAAAATCATGCTAAACATGCAGAGGAAAATGACAGACTTCAGCTATATAAAGGAAAATATGTTTTTTATAAAAAGAGCTAAAGTTGTTGCAAAGAAGAACCTTTATTTTAAAAACCGCATTCAGAGTGAGTTAATCGAGGAGTAGCTTGTCAGATGTTGTAGATGTTTGTCTGATGAGAGCGGCCAGTGGTGTGAGAAAGCTCCATTGTGCCAAACTCTGTAAGGAGTTAAAGCACAGTGGCACAGAGACAAAGACAACACTGTCCTGAAGAGGGAGGAGAGGAGGAAGACAGAGGAGAGCTGCTGGGAGAGACAGATCACAATTACTGGAATCTGACAGCTGAAATTAGAGACTTTCCAAAGCTTACAGATGATGAAGAATCCCGTTCAGGTTAGATTAGTGTTCATCTCAAGAGTGCACATGGACTTTCGAACTTCAAGCACTTGTACTTTTAACATTTTTGTGTTCTTTGTGCAACCCAGTATATAGTGAACTGAATACAGAGCCTGAGGGTTTTAAAGGCTCTGAGTGCCTCTTTTGTCCCATGCCAAATGCACAAGTCAAGACTAATTATTTGAGCACAGGACTAATGTTTTCAAACACTGTATGACACATTACTGGTACTATTCTGCTATTGCATTTTGTTTTTGCATGCGTTCATTTAACTGTGGACACGTTTGGCCCTCTGGATTTGAACTTCCATACATAGCTTTCTTAAAACACACTTTTAACACCCTCTCTTCGGCAGCTAATAGTATTCTGGCGTAATTTTTTTATGCGAAATTTCACCACCGTGTTATTTCCACCAAAGGCCCTATTTTCACACCTGTGTTAGATGTGCCCATGCACAAACAATTATACAACTGTCATGAAAGCATTAAATCAAAATACAATTTCTCTGCCATTGCAACAAGCAACTGGGCATATGTGGGTGTATATGGAGGAAGCCCACGTAAATGAAGCACCGCAAAACTTAACTTTCAGCAACTTTTCTTGCAATTTTCAAGAACCACATCGAATTTCTAAAAGTCTAAACTTGTCTGTACATTTGCAGTTGGATTCCATGTCTAAATCTGACATCTTCGTTGATCAATATGATAAATGGCTAATTGCGATCAAAAACAGCCTTTGCATTTTGCCTAAAATTACATATTTAAACTTTTTTTTTTTTTTTTAAATAAAAATGCTAAAATAGTCTTGCCAAAAGAAATTTCATAGCTTGCATTTTTGTATCCTAAATGCACACAATTAAATATTTTCACAATTTTTGTATAATGAATAATAAATTAATAGAATTGATGCTATAAAATGGAAGACATGCTATAAAAATCTTCACTGATACTGTTGTGACTTTAGTAAGTGAGTAACCTATTAGTAACGCCCGCCTTAGCAAACACGACTAAATACAAGGCTGTTCAAAAACTGGTTGTTGACTGTGCATTTATGAAATCATCTGCAAAAAGCTTCAGAATTAATGATAGTTGAGCTTTGGTGTGTTTCAAACATTAGACTGAAGAAGCATACGATTACCTGTTGAGATCATGTAATTATAGAGAGACTTGTGCACTGCCGAATGAAAAGATGTTTTTGCAACAGATATTTATGTGTAGATTTAATTGAGAGTTGTCGCACATTAAAACTGTACTGCTAAAATAAAGGCTCTTGCAGGTGAGAAGACAGACATTATTTCTTAAAGTGCTTTAAAGTGTGAAAAAAAGACCCTCATCTCCAGATATCAAATGAGCCTTCAAATTAACTTTCCAAAGTTCAGCCAAGGGCTTCGCCTAAGGGTGATATTTACAAAAACACTGAGAAATGCAATTGACAGTCTCCTGAATGCAAATACCAGACTACAGGAACAGCGCCAGGCTCCAGATATCCTTCATTTGGGATTCTGAGGATTTGTTAAATGAAGTTTGACTTGGACGTGTTTGGAAAACCGAGGTGTGGAAGTGTAACAAGAGAAGTAACGGGGGGTTAAACAGAATGATGGGCTCAGAGCCATGGCGAGACAGTGATCTGCACCATGCAGATGTGTTTACTGAAGAAGAAGAAAGGCTGAGGATGGGAAAGTCAGCCAGAGGACCGAAGAGGTTCCACATGCACCCGGGACGGACCACCCGGAATGAGACACAAGCATGGGCCAGACAAACTACTTTGGTTAACGATTACACAAAAAGGCTATTGTGTCTTTCCACAATCGTTCAAAATTATTAATCATTAAACCTATTGTGGAAGGTCCAGTTCTAATTCTGTTCAGGATCATAAAACATAAACACTGAAGAAAAGCTTACATTTTGAAATGCTTCAAATCACTTGGAATATCAAGCAGGAAATGGTGAGAACGTGAGAAAGTCTAGCGCCGATAAACATCAATGTGTGCACACTTCATGAGCACATGACAAAGCAGACATCTGATGTCTGTATCATTCAATGACTCAAACTGGGGATTCTCCAGTAATTCAATAAACTGCAGACTTGGAGGAATCATTCATGTCTGCAGCACAAATAGTGTAAAATGAGACAACTTCAAGAAGCTGAAGACTTATGGTTAGGTATTTGTTCAAAACACTAAGCTTAAGTATGTGCAATAATAACAGTGATGTTGTCTTAGCAAACACTACTTACTGTAAATACTGTCAGGCCATGTCAACGTAATCATTGTTAACGAAAACAATAATAAACCAAATGAAAACAATTTTTTAACTTAAACCAACATGAAAACCGAACTTAAATCATTTTTCACTATTCTAAAACTAAAAAAAAAAAAAGACTCTAACCTACTGAAAAATGTAACTCTGGTAAACAATTGTAAATGATACTAGTCTGTGCATTAACTATGGAAAACTGAAAAAAACAAACTGAAAGTCGTAATTTAAAATAAAAAACTAAAACTAACAATGAGAGTAAAAACAACTGAAAACTAGACAACTAAACTGGAAACAAATTAAAAAAACACTTAAATTAGAACTATACGAATCCTGGTCAATGTACACTGATATATAATACTCTTATCGCTGAGATATAACACATTTTTTCCCTAAAAAGGAAGGGTTTTGTTTATGTTTGTTCTTTCTAAGCAGACATAAACTTCCTGTACGAGATCACGCTTTGGTCCTGTAATCATCTAAACCAGGAAGCCACTAAGTCAGTTGAAATAAGAGATTAATAGACTAAACACACAACTATCTTAACACAGCTAAAGCATGCATTTCTTTCTATGGTTAATCATTGCACTAGGCTTCATAAAAATTGTTTTAAACATGCGGTTTAAGAGTTTCAACGTCTAACTGGCAGTAGATGGTTATCCATTCTATAACAGGTTTTGTCTGTTTAGGGTTTAAACCAAGGTCATCCAGACTGGAAGAGAACGGATTTCACTAGTTTTCCGGACAGCATTCCCGGTGCTCTTCCCACATCTGCTTTGTACATTATTCCAAGTCGGACACATTAAAAGTGAACCCAACATCCTCATTACAGAGTACTGGCTGAGAAACTTGTATGATAAATATTTGGGAGAGCAAATATGAGACAGACACTCAGCTGTAATCCTTCAGATGTGCATGAATGTGGATGTTTCTATATTACACACACATGCTCGGTACATAAACACCCGCATAAACATTCTCAGCCATGTTCAGAGCATGTGTTTCCTTTGTTCTACCTTGTTTTACTTGTATGCTAATGACACAAATCTCCTCTGCATGAGGTAAACCATCTCAAATGAGGTGTGAGGACAAACTCACACTTTCAAGTCCCAGAGACATTCTAAGCAGAAGGAGATGGTCACTAAAGGTAAAATGAATAGGAGACACTCAATACGGCTTTGGTAAAGACGCCTTTCTATCGAAATCACATTTGTTCAACACACAATAACAAGGTAAACAAATGTGGCTCTTTAGCTGCAAGGTAATTTCTTCCATGCATATATGATAGCATTGCCCGTCTCTTCCAATTAAAATGCCTTAGGCAAGAAAGAGACAAACTGCCTTCATATGGTGGACAACAGAATGGAAAATGTGGATTTATTTAGGCCAAAATGGTGAAACCTTGACATGACAAGCTTCATTGTCTCTTTGCTTGGCCCTGTAACAAGTGAGATTTAGGAGGGGTTGAAATTCTGAAAAGGTTTTGCCACAGGCGTTTGACAACAACCTCATTTTACATCTGTAAACAAAGCATTTAGGGATAATGCACAATAACTGCAGTATCATATATCATGTTATGTAACCCTGGATATTTTTCATACAAAGAATTCAGTTATTAAACCTCACAAATAAACCTCTCTCTTTCTCCACCTCAGAACCCTTCCTCTCTGGACTGGTCCATTCAGAGCGCCCTGTCGTCTCTTTTCCCTCCGTTTGAGGCTACCGCTCCTACTGTTCTCAGCCAACTCTTTCGCACCATTGAGGAACGTTACCATGGAGATGCACTGCAGTGCCTGCTGAACTTCCTTATCCCAGCCAAACATATCCTAGAGAGTGTGCAACAAGCAGCCTGTGTGAGTACAACAAAAAAAGACCATCGGATTTAAAATTTCGACAGTAAAAGCCAACCATCTAAAATGGCCAATAGCCTACGTACCAAGTGACTTATTTTCATTTAATAACTGAAAGAAAAAATAATTATTCACTCACCCTCATGTCATCCCTAACCTGTATGACAGAAGGTTGTCCATAGTCCAAAGGCTTGCATGCTATTCCAGGTCATCTGAAGCTAAACAATGAGATTTGAGAACTGAAGCAAGGGGAAAGTGTTTCAATGCGTTACATAACTTCCCATCTAGGGCTGGGGAGCCAGTAACAAAAAAAAGATAAAGAAAAACATCTAAAGAAAAAAAAACAACCTCCTGACCAAGAGTCAACACAAACACCAATTCAAATTAATCTCTTAATTTGAAAAGATAAGAAAAACGTAAACAGAAACAATAAATCTCAAAGGAAGTATTAACAAACATATAGGGAACAAAGACTTCAGGGGAGAGCTAGGCCAAAACAACAAACAAAACCAAACTAACTAACCCAAGGATATTTATAAATTACCTAGAGAAAGATAATTCGAAAATAAAATACACAAAAACTTCCCTCTCTTCCTGTCTGCCCATAACCAGGAGAAAACAAGAATTACAAACGAAAATGGCACCCTCCCCCTACATTCCCTTAAATCAAAAAGAACATAAGAACACTAACAAACATAGTTAACGTTAAACAAAAATGGTCAAATGGTTTTAAACAACTTCAGTTCTCTTTCTGCTCAAGAACACAACAAAGTCCTGAGTTCACTTACTCAGAACTAAATCAACCAAAAGCAAACAAATGAATCTGGGCAACCAGGAGGAAGAGTAGCCCTGGCAGAAAGAAGTCTCTCTCTTCTTTCTTCACAGATCCACCACTTCTTATATTTCTGCTCCTTCCCGGCATCAACCAATCACCACGGGCATCACCAGATTGAACACAGCTGGTTGGAACACCTGTCTCGTGACGAGGGAGAGAGAGGGAGAGAGATAGAAGGAAAGCAAACAAAACCACATCCAACACATGTACACAATTATAAAACCCCTTGAATACGTCCTCGGACGTAACAAATGAATAATGTCTTTAAGATGAAGTAGGGAATTTCACAATTGCAAAACTACCATTTCATCTTATATTGTTTGAGCAAACAGCTATTTGTGCTCAAAACAAACAGATTCCACACTTCAGCTTTAGCATAAAGGTTCAGTAGACTTGGAATATAGGTTTGCAAGGACTACTTTTATGATGCATGACAGGTCATGCTCAGTGTATGCTTTCAGTGTATGGAAAGGGACAGTGAGAATGACATCAGAGTGAGTCAATAATGTATTTTCATGTTTGGGTGAACTAAGCCTTAAAGGGTAAAGTGTGTTAGCATACTGAGCAAGATGAAAGCAGTTTCCTGTGCAGATATTTTTTCCATGTGGCTTTTTATGGCACAGATCCCACAAGCTACTTATCCTTGTCCACTCAGCACAAGATTGTTTTGTTTTATCTTCAGAAAGAACAAAGGCCTTCCGAGGCAGCTTCTTCTGAAGGGGATTCAAGAATGTTTGCGTGCAAGACAATAAACGGCATCAAGACCCAAGCCATTAGGAATCTTGTAGTCATAAAATCTGTCAATCCAAAATGATCTGCAAGTCAACAAACTAGCTTTGCCCTTTCTTTCTCCCACTAGGCTGCATACTCCGATGTGCTGTTCCGGTGTGAGGGTTGGCCATTGTGCCTGAGAGATCGTGTGGTGATCCAACTTGCCCCTATCAACCCTTTACTGCTCCGACCTGGAGATTTCTACTTGCAGGTGGAACCTTTTGGAGAACAGTCAGCCCGAATCGTCCTCAAAAGTCTTCTTGTGCAGGAAGACCTCCTGGGGCATGAGAATCTGGTGCTGCAAGCCGGTTCCAGGTTGCTGGAGGGTACTGCAATTGAGGGGACTCCCATTCCTGAGACATCTTATCCATGCATATTCACGGAGTCTTGGCTAAGGGAAATAAATGAGGGACGTCATGGAAATCCTCTATGTCAGTGTGTGCTTTCCTCTGACCAGGGGGTTGTGAAGGTACCCTGGACCGAAGTTGCCAACCCAGAATTCCTTGACAGACCCAAATCTAACATCTGGCCTGAAACAAAGCCATGCTCAACTCCAACTCTCCGTGTGAAAGATCTTAAAACTGAGATTTCGAAGAACGAGTCACAGGTACCTATAGGCCTTTTACCGCTTGATATGGAAACTAGGATCCTTCCAGCAAATGATGGGATGGCGGTTTCTGTTCAGCTAGTGGACGGTGGCAGCAGATTGGTGAAGGTTGACCAAGGACATCCAATAAGCAGTTTTGCTGGAAAACCTGTTGGCTGGGTATCTCCTAATACCTGGGACAGCAGGCACAACCGAGAGCTGGAAGGAGAATATGTGGATCTTTTAGAGTTCAACAAGGAGAAAGAGACTTTGGTCCTCAACAAAATAGCAATGCCCACAAAACCACTGGGCTTCAAGTTAGTCAGGACAACTCAACCTGCCCCAAAAAGTAATGTTAACATGTGTGAAGAGGACTGCAATCCTTGTATGCAAAACAAACCACCTGAGAGCATGCAAAACGATCCAGAATCCAAATGCAGGTATCGGCAGTCTTACATGGCAGCTCTCCGAAACCCTGTGAATTTTGAGAGAACAAGTATGCTACGTTCCCTAGATGAAACAAGGACAGATGTAGGGGAGGTTGAGCCAAGCTGTGAGGGATACAGAGTTGGCCTTAGACTTAAACCTTCGAGTTGTACATTTGGCCAGACACCAAACCAAGCAGACAGAAACCCGATGCAATCCTTTGAGAACTCAGTCCAACAAAAGCAAAGCCCAAAGAACTCAAGTCAGAGCATACCTCATGACTGTAGTTCAAGGGAGAATGCGGAGTCTTCTGACCAACATATGACCCAACAGCTCCTTAGCATGGTCCAAGCAAGACAACAACACAAGTCATTCCTCACTGGGCAACAGGATCTTCAACAGACTGTACTAGGAACTAAGGCACTACCCAACAAAAGGCAGCACTGTCTGAACAACTCTTTTAGACATGATTCATTTCAAATGCGGACTAGCGGCCAGAAACACGCCAAAACCCAACACTTACCCAAAATGGGACTCAGGGCTTTACCTGACCACAGTGGTCAAAGACAAGATGCTAATCTATGTTTGCAGGGTTTCAATCAAATTCAGCTAACACAGGCCTCCAAACAAACACCTCCTCTATTCCAGCCCCAGTTCAGTCAGATCCTGTTCCAAAATGAGAACAGGCCTTTGGATTACAAAGTCTTCTGTGATGACAGACACAGTGGAAGAGGCTCAGGTTCACCTGTACAGGTGATCAAAGGTAAAAGCAGGTCTAAATCCCGCTCATCCTCTTCAGTCTCAGAAACAACCAAAGAGTGTCTGCAATCGCACAAGCCAACCAACAGAAGCCGCAGTGATGTCTATCCAGAAATCATTCCCATGTTGCCTGCTATCCAGGGAATAAAACACACAGCTAATTTGGTGTCCCCAAAATTAAACAGACGACAAGAAGCAAGAAAGGGTAAGCTGAGTTTGACCTCTGCATGTAAAAGAGACTTGTGCTTCTGATTTGTTACAGGCATTTAGAAGAAGCAAATACAAAGAAATAGCCTAACAATTATTTTCTGTGGTTCTTTGCTGTGTGTGTCAACTAATTGCATACAGATTTTACCCCACATCTCACTTTGATGTCAAATGAACATCTAAAGCAACATGACGTCTGGCCAGCATGCTGTTTTTTAGATCTTTATCCTTAAATGAAAAGCATGTTCAAACATGACTGATATGAACAGTTGCTTGTACAAAAATGAAACCACTACACTCTTAAAAATAAAGGTGCTTCACGATGCCATAGAAGAACCTTTTTGTCTAAATGGTTCCATAAAGAACCTTTAACATCTGAAGAACCTTTCCGTTTCACAAAAGGTTCTTTGTGGCAAAAGAAGGTTCTTCAGATTATAAAAAGGTAAGAAAGAGATGGTTCTTTAAAGAACCTTTGACTAAATGGTTCTTTGCGGAACCAAAAATGGTTCTTCTATGGCATCGCTTGAAGAACCTTTTGAAGCACCTTTATTTTTAAGAGTGTATGAGGCCACGTCTAGTTGCCACCCGCCATGACATATCAACTGATTTACAGACAACCTTGACCCTGGTCAATTGCTGAGGAGAAAATATACCCTTCTGAAAGGTCATCTTAAAAGAGTGCAATGGGACACTGGCCAAAGGTCAGGACCGTGCACAGCGTTCCACAGGGGAATTTCTGCAGTCCTTCCTTTGATTTCTTTCTTTAGCAGAACAGAACGAAAGCATTCATGAGGACCAAGAAGAGCAAAGAGCGGGGAACAGAAATATCTACATCCCCCTGTTTTATGGGGAAGCTGCTAGATGTCTTTGTAAATGGGAAGAGGAGGGTGATGGATTTAGTTTACAAGTCATTTTTTCCAAAAAAAAAAATTTAAAGGAGAGATCAACAGCTCCATCTAGCTGTGGCACACATCTTTTCACTCAAGCAATAAGTTCAGAAAAAGTAGAATTAGTTTTTTAATCACCATCTTTTGTGTTGGCATATTTACCTATGTTCAAAATAAATGTAATTTCCCATCTTTTGAAGAAGTCTACTCATCTGGAAAGACTGGAACTCCAGCTGTTAATGGAGTAGAGCTCCAGAAATCAGACGCTGATCAGCTCTTGACTGGCCAGCCTGAGAATGGAGTTCAGGCAACTTTATTTTCCCAGGACCCCACAATCAAGAGCCTTCTCAAGCTAGGCATCATCTGTTTACCGGGTATGCTTCCTAATCCATTTTAAGTGTGAATTTATGTGTTGTGGTGTGTTTAAAATTCAGGGCTAGGACTGGGCAAAGACTAATATATAAACAACTGTTCCCTTGAGCAAGAATTGTTCACTCAAAAAATCAAATTGTCACATTTACTCTGTTTCATCAACAAAAATAAAATAAAAACAGTCCATACATCTTTTGATGACACATGATACAGTACATTTGTTTGAAAAACAGATACAAGAGAACCAAAAGTAGTAGAACCATTGATTAAAGGGTTAGTTCACCCAAAAATTTAAATTCTGTCATTAATTACTCACCCTTGTGTTGTTCGAAACCCGTAAGACCTTCGTTCATCTTCGGAACACAATTTAAGATATTTTTGATGAAATTTGAGGGCTCTCTGACCCTCCCATAGACAGAATACTTTTTTGCGCAAAGAAAACAAAACTTTTTCTGCGTCAGTTGTGGATCGCGTTCACGACAGTACCATGACGCGAGCGTGTGGCAGCGTGATGACGTCATTACGCCGGATCTGGGTCAGCGCCGCCACACGCTCGCGTCATGGTACTGTCGTGAACGCGATCCACAAGTGATGCAGTAGAGACGTTATTTTTGTTTTCTTTGCGCAAAAAAGTATTCTCGTAGCTTCGTAACTTTACAGCTGAACCACTGATATCACACGAACTACTTTGTCGATCATCTTAGTACTTTTCTGGACCTTCAACGTGGTAGTTACCTTGCTGTCTATGGGAGGGTCAGAGAGCCCTCAGATTTCATCAAAAATATCTTAAATTGTGTTCCAAAGATGAACGAAGGTCTTACGGGTTTCGAACAACAGGAGGGTGAGTAATTAATGACAGAATTTTCATTTTTGGGTGAACTAACCCTTTAATTCAATACATGGAGAGTCATCAGTGACTAATAACTGAATTTAAGTCGGCTCTCACATAACACATGATCTCACATAAGAAAAATATTTTATGACTTGTAATGTAATATACAGTAACACACAACCTGTAAATTAGTTTTTTACTTTGACCAGGGAAATGGTGAGCAAATATGCAGTTTTTTATTTAAATTTTTTTTCATACAACATTACAAGAAAATGAGAAAAGCAACTAATGTTATGTTAAAGTGACATCATGATCACAAAAAAGACAAAAATAATTATATTTCATTATTATGCGAGTAACACCCAGATCTAAGTTACTTTTGCCAAAATTACCTTCTAAATGGCTACTTGCTTCTAACTTTCTACATGCACATGTTGCACATTCCACTCTAGATAAAGCTAAATGCATCAAATGTCAATTCTGATGGCAGTAAACAGGAAACGTTCCGACTCTCCTCTGGACAGTTTTTGAGGCCTGACAGTTTTGACAAGCCTCTATAATGTAGCGGTTAGCATGCAGCCACGTGCAATCCAAATACAGAAAATACACAACTTTTTCTGAGTGTGTTCTTCAGACAATAGTGATTTATTTGCTTTTGCTCTCAAATGCTGTCATGTTAGTTGCTAAAATGCCAAAGCTACTGCACACATGCACAGAAAATATGGTCATTCTGTTAAATCGTGTTGTTTTAACTCAATACTGTATGTTCTCTTACCAATACCAGGCAGTCGTGACAGAGCTGGCCGGGCTGTGGTTGAGGTCTACGGGGGCAGGAAAGGCTGGGCGTCCTCTCAACTTTCTCCTCATGAGTTCTGCAGACTGTTGCTCTACCTGCACTCCATTCCCAGGTACCAAACCGAGACCAATCTGCTCAATTACCACAAGAGGGCAGTAAAAGACATGGAGTAGCAGTCCAAATACAGAGCGATGTGAAACGGCCTCATTAGCCTATCAGGCATGTTTGTGCCTAAAATGTAGGCCTATTTCTTAATTCAAAATCTGAGTAGAATTTGAATTAAGAAATATATATCATAGGCTATATATTTATTAATTTTCATTCTAGAACCAAGATGACGGAGCTAACGGGAAAAAATAAAATTACATTATCATCTGTGTAATGTTTAAGTAGTTTCGCCGACGTCCGTAACAACGCTTCCGTTCATCCAGGTAAAAGAAACCGGCACTACTTTCTCTCGCGCTTTCGTTTCATACAAACGCAACAAGTGCAAGACAATTGTTTTGTACAGTACATTATGATGGAGTTTTTTTTCTTATTTTCCTTAATAATAATAATACATAGCTAATTTAAACACACATCAATATTTTATATCCACGTACTTATTTATTTGGTGACTGGTGAGTAGCTTTAATAAGGGGAATAAGTACAATCAGCCAGTTATTATCCAAAAATAAACCCCAAAAGTATGTTCGGGACGATTATTCCTTATATTTTATAAAGCTACATTGTATATATTACAGCATATAGCTATTTATGTTTCCTCGCTGTCACTGAGTTGACATTATATCTAGAATTGCCATATTTACAAGCACTGATAAATCCACATGCTTTAAGAGTAGATTCAAATGTTGCTGCACACTTTGAATTTACTCTGTCAAGAATTAAAATTTGTTTTGATGGCTGTTGTTTTGACAATATTGATGGTTTTATCATTCTCCTGGAAGCTGCACAAATGTAATATGCTACACCAAATATGGCTTTACTTACTGATGTAAAAGAAGATGTATGTGTTTACAGGATGGAGGTCAGAGAGCTGGGACTGACCGTAGTGATTGACAGCAGGAAGTGCCCTCTGCCCTCTGTGTTCTACAAATCCCTGCTCATGGTTCAGGTGAGGATCTGCCCAGAAAACAATCATCACCACCAACTTCCAGCATCAACATCTGAACACATCCTTTATGCACACAATCTAGAAATGAAGTTGTCTAGTAGGCGGCAGTCAAGAGTGCAACTGCAGCTACTCGTTCTGCATGTTTCACACACCAACCTATGTGTCTGTTGAATGTGTGTGTTATACAGGAGCAGGCCCTTCATGCAGTGCACACTATCTTGATGCTTGTTGATAAAGACGCAAATCCTCGACCAGAAAAACATCCTGGTCTACAGGTAATTAACACCCCCAAACACACTCATTGTGCCCTGCAATTACGCCTTCATGGAAACCTTTTAATTAACTCCTAGAATGTCTGCTCTCTCTGAGTTCAGATATACATGCCTTCAGCTCTTGGTGTTGATCTGGGGTTTGTAGGCTGATATACAGTACCTGTTACTATATGCAGATGTTGAACTCCTTTGGCATTTTATAGCTGCTTTCACATTTATTTTTTTTTTAAAGCAGTTTTTTTTTTAATTCAGGAAGGATGCATTAAATTAATCGAAATTGAAACATTTAAAATGTTACAAACAGTTTCTGTTTCAAATAAATGCTGTTCTTTTGTTCTTTCTATTCATCAAAGAATCCTAAAACATAAAATGTATCACGGTTTCCACAAAAATATTAATCAGCATGACTGTTTTCAACATGACTGTTTCTTGAGCAGAAAATCAGCATATTAGAATGATTTCTGAAGGATCATGTAATGATACTGAAAATTCAGCAGGGTATACATTACATTTTAAAATATATTCGAATATAAAATTCTAATATTTTAAATTGTAATAATATTTCACAATATTACTGTTTTGACTGTATTTTTGTTCAAATGAATGCAGCCCTGGTGAGCAGAAGAGACTTTTCTCAAAAACATTAAAAATGTTTTACTCATGCTTGGGTCTCACACACGTGCAGTACAGTATGTTAAAGTACATGATCTTTTCTTTCAGATAGATGTTGTGACGTCACTAAAAGCTCTCCATAAGACAGTTGATGGACAGCAGTTGACCTCTGACCTTGGCGGATCCTTCCCTTACAGTCATGAAGACTGGCTACAGTTTCACCAGGTAGGAGAAGAGCAATCACAAAAACACCCAGTAATGCTGCCTTCTGACTGATATCTTTACCTTTTCAGTGAATACTGACAGTCTTAATGTAAAATTTGTAGATCCAGACAAATATAAAATGTAGAATTTCGGCCATCATGTTTTGTTTTATCAGTATTTGCACTTCTTGCAACTTGGAGGTGCTCCAGTGGGAGTGTAGCTGGACATTTCAATGATTAAAAACACTTTTTGTTTTTTGCATCAGTGCTGTGATTAATGCGCATGCACTGACGCTTTGAGTCCTGCTTGCCTCAGTCAGTTTCCTGTCCTCTCTCTCTCTCTCTACTATAAGTAATGCGGCAAAGGCCCGAAATATATATGATGCAACAAATAACAGCACATTTGCAGTCAGTGATGTTGTAATACCACTTACTCACTAAACATTTTTATTTGTTTCTGTAGTAAGAACATGTTATTGTGTAATCAGTTCGGTCAGCAACTGTTAAAACACTTGTAAACGGACGCAAGTCAACCTGCACAAACAGCTCTAGTGAAGTGGATCACAACATTTCTGACAACAGCAAATGGCTCTTTATATTTTTTCCATGTTTTGTCTATTTGAGGCCTGAGAGCCCAATGGCTCTTTAACTTACATGTGTAACAACCTGACTTTTCCTAATCTTATGTGAATTGATTATGAACAAAATTTAATCTTGATGACTAGCAGCTACCTTCAGCTGTCTTCTGCTGGTCACATGCTTTAGGTTTGTGCTTGTAAATGTTTTGTCGAGCAAATAGCTGAATAATCAGCAGATGCCCTTCTTTCACAATATGTAGATGATTATCTAACATGTGTTTTGCATGTGTTTTTCAGAAACTTTCTCTCTTTCAACTCGACCTACAAGCAGCAGCATCATTACTGCAGACAGCAATCAGGAGACTTGATGTTAAAAAAACAGATACCGCAAAGGTAACTTTGGATTCTGCATGCTAATTTCTGAAAATTTCCAGAAATACAGTGCACATTCGTATCACATTTTTTTAACATAGCAGCTAGAGATGCACTGGTATTTACATTTGAACCGATACAATAAACCAGTAACTATTTTCATATGATGTCAGAAAACGGAGAAATGTCTGATATTAAAATTCGATGCAATTTTGTCTAAATCAAACACTGCAATCAATCATTTTAATTGCTACAAATTAATATAAGAATCTAATGTAATAATGCACAGTATGAAAAAGGAACATTCATTTTAAGATTATGTTTAACAGTGTTAAGTTATTAGTGTTTTTTTTAAATGACCTTTAAGTGAGTGTTAGCTGACTGTAAATGTGGAAAATAGGTGAAATTAACATGCAAAATGAAATATCAATATCAATAAATGATCAATATCAATAAATATCAATACCAATATCAGTAAATAAAAAATCTCTAAAATAAATTGTTATAGTATGGTTATATTATCCCTATTTAAAGGCACATTGACGTTGTTTTTGTAGTGTGAAACAACCAGATATATTCAATAAACGATTACCGGATTATGTAACATAAAATGAACATAAATGCAGGTAGTACCAAAAAAAGATTTCTCACATTTTCACTCAATTTCTGCTCATAATAATAATAATATTTATTATTAATATTTTATTAATTTATTTAGAAATTGCACAAATTGAAAACTTCATTTTAAACAAATGCAAAATAAAAAAAAGCTCATTTGTGACCCTGGAGCACAAAAGCAGTCTTAAGTCGCTGGGGTATATTTGTAGCAATAGCCAAAAATACATTGTATGGGCCAAAATGATAGATTTTTCTTTTATGCCAAAAATTATTAGGATATTAAGTAAAGATCATGTTCCATGAAGATATTTTGTAATTTTCCTACTGTAAATATATTAAAACTTGTCATATGCATTGCTAAGAACTTCATTTGGACAACTTTAAAGGCGATTTTCTCAGTATTTTGATGATATAGTTGTATCTCGACCAAATATTGTCCTATCCTAACAAACCATACATCAATGGAAAGCTTATTTGTTTCGAAAAATTGACCCTTATGACTGGTTTTGTGGTCCAGGGTCACATTTATTTAATTTGACCATGCTGAGGAATTCTGCTCCCAAACTAACTAAATCAATTGGCAATTGTTCAGGATGTCCAGTCCTGCATCCAGGAGCAGAGGAGTTCCATGAAGATGGTGCTTGAAGACACACGATTGGTCGCCCTCCAAAGAGAAGGCGGGTCTATTCTCGCCAGGATGAGGAAGGAAGAGTCTCGATTTGCTCAGTCTGAAGACTTCAGGTATTTCTCTCAGTATGTTTGAATCACAGCAGGCTCAGTTTAGTCACGTTTGATCATGATTAGAGCTCAGCTGCGCCCATGATGTTTGGACAGCTGCTGGGTCCCAGTTAATCCTATTTTCCCAACAGCAAGAACCTTTAGACATACAGTGAGCTCCACTGGAGAACCCATATATAATATGAAACACAAACTGGAGAAATGGTAGATTTTCACTAGCCTGTAGTACTCAATATTTACAATAAATGAATTAAAAACTACAAAACATATTCAATTTACAGTATATTTGCATGTTTTGTGCAGGTGCTGAGAGCACATAACACTTCTATGTCTTTTCTGTCTCCTGCAGGGACTCTCTGGAGTCTGTGACGTATCTGTATAACCAGGTGGAAGAGGCCGTTCACACGCTAGTGATCAAATCTAACCAGTCACTGCAACATCTCGAACATGTTCTTCGGTTGAGAGAAGCAGAAGACTCGCTCAGCACAGTATGCATTACATCCCGTCATGACAGATAATAAGCGCAGCCCACAGAAAGTGCTTCAGCGCTGAAAATAACACAAGACAAACATTGTGCCGCATGGAATAATCAGCCAGTGTTCGACGGGCAGACAGTCTCAACCTTCATAGTGAAACATAACATCACCGTGCTAAATAAAGTGATCATAATTTCTCAGCTGTTGGAAGAGAATGTTTTGAGAAAAGTCTGAAAAGACCAACACTAAAATTTCAGGCTGGTTTAATGCTGCTCTTGCTGGTAGATAGATATGCTGTTGTAAGCAGCTTATGAAGAAATGTTGTGGTGCAACCGCATTTGTAGCACAAATAACCACAGAGTGGCTCTAAGTTACAAAACATAGTGGTAAGGCACATCCAGTATAATGAAAATAGGCACTAAATGTTAAATTGCACCATTTAAACCAAACGTATATAAGTAGAACTTAAAATCATGTTATATATCCAACCATGATGACCATGTAAAGATGGGAAATATGGTAACTGTGGCATGATCTACTATGCTTAACTAGATACTGTGTTAACTAGATCCAAAAAGAATGAATAATTAATGTTAATGCTTTAACAAAAATACAAGCTTCATATTTGTGCTTTTAAACTCTCAAAGTGCATAGTCCCATTCAGTAACCATGAATTTGTCATTTGTTTGTAACACTTTATAATAGGGTCTCATTTGTTAACATTAGTTCATACATTAAAGGAATATTTCACCCAAAAATTAAAATTTGCTGAAAATGTGCTCACCCGCAGGCCATCCAAGATGTAGATGAGTTTGTTTCTACATCAGATTTGGAGAAATTATATCACTTGCTCAGCAACAGATGCTCTGCAGTGAATGGGTGCCATCAGAATGAGAGTCCAAACAGCTGATAAAAACATCACAATAATCCACACCACTCCAGTCCACTGGCGTCTTGAGAAGCCAAAAGCTGTGTGTTTGTAAGAAACAAATCCATTTTAACTCCAAACCCTTACTTCTGTCTAAAATAACGAGTCCATAATTCATAAGAATTGCTTGGATATTGCTTTATTCAGTGAAAAAGTCGTCTGGTCGGAATCAGGAGAGAAATATGCACTGATCAAGCACCATTTACAAGCCAAAACAGTTCTAAAAAAAGAAAAATATGTGGATTTTGAGATGTGAGACAACAGGAGATGGAACTTTTCACTGGAGGAATCACTGCATTATTGAACTGTGAACTGTCGATAATGTTAACAAATGGAGCTTTACTCTAAAGTGTTATCATTTTATGTAAACTAAGGGATGAGTCAAATCATCATTGTAGAACAGATGTCTTTAAAGAGGTCTGGTGGAGTCAGCAGTAGATTGGAGTCAATAAATACCATAAATTCAGCTCTTTTGATTCTTGTGTATAATTCATTGTTGTTTATGTTGTTCACAGATCCAAAAATGGTGTGATGCAGAGGAGCAGTCATGGCAGAAAGACAAAGATGACACAGAGAAAACTCTGCTGAAAATAGAGCAGAGACTACAAGATGTTCAGTCTGTTCTTATACGAGCAAAGGTAACAAATCCTTGACATTTACTCAAATATACAGACTAGATGAATGCCTGAATCTTATCAGACTAGTTAGATTGTGGATTAGAGATTTATGTGAACTGCTGAGTTTGAATGAATTAAAAAGAAATCAAATTCCAGAGATAATGAAAATGGTACGAGAATGTGCAGTCTTAAATAATGATAAGTAATGAAGATTTATGAAATTTCAGACATCTTTGAGGTATTGCATAAGTTGTGCATGTTATTTTTTTTCTAGGAGAAAAAAGAAAAAGGGATGTTGTTGATAAAGGAAGTGGAGAGAAAAAGCAAAGGAATACATTACCCTGAAACCGAGGCTTTTGGGTGTAAAGCCACCACTTTCAAAACCAACGTGACCGGGTTTCTCTTGAAAGCTGAGGAGCGTAAATCTGAGCTGGAGACGTCTGTCGATCTCTATCGTTTCTGTGAAGAGGTTCGTCAACAAACACGGACAATTAACTGCCCTATTCAAGTCAACGTGAAACATTTGCAAGCTGTTTTACTTCTGCAATGTATTTATTTGTGAAACAAGGTATTCTGCAAGAGAGAATTACTGAAAGACTGAAAACAATCTATTGGAGTAATTAGCAAGGCTCCCCATAGAATTTTAAACTATGTTCTCCAGGCCTTAAAAAATATGAAAAATCTTAAAATTAATGGAATTTGTAGTTACTAGTAGTTTCTAATTGTGCAGAGCAATATGTCATTGGTATAATATTGCTCTTGGGTAAAAAAAAAACTTGCAAACCCTAGTGATTTTTGATTCGCAAATTAATTATTTTCAATGAATCAGTCAAAAGTACTCATAAATGATTGATGATGAATGAACGATGAGTCAGTCAGAATCAAAATTATTTCGAGATATCATTTGACATAAATCCTTGTGTAATTACTTGTAAAAACTTTAAAGCTAATTGGAAAAGTCATTACAAATTATTAGTAAACAATTGTGGTCCCTGGGACAAAAAAAAAGTGTATTAAGAAAGTACATTGGATCAATTTTAATTTCATGTTGACTTTATATAGTGAAAGTAATAGTTTAATCAATCAGAGTAAAAAAAACCCATCATATTTGGTTAGATGGAAAGGACAGCTTACATTATTTACATGTGTGAATGACAAAATCATAATCTGAAGATACAGAGCAGACATGTCTCATACCAACTTCTCATTCATCTGTTATCAATAATCTAATCCTTTGTTTTGCATCCACTAGGTTTAAGACAAACAGAATCAAACCAAAATCAAAAATGTAACGTTTAGTATATATTTAAGTTTAAATAATATAATCATTACCACATAATTATTGAATATAGTCTAAAGAAATTCCATTACAAATAAATTAATATACACTACTGCAAAAAGTTTGGAATAATAACAATAAATTTGTTAAATGTTCTTTCCATTTAAAATAATAGCTTTCTATTTTAAAATATTTTAAAATGTAATTTATTCCTGTGATTCAAAGCGGAATTGATGGCTACTGAAAATTCAGCTTTGATCACAGGAATAAATTACATTTTATAAATTTCACCCCACAATTATAAGTAAGACACGAATAAGGCATAAAGAAAATTAAGCCTAGATATTTGTCATTTTTAGGATATCATAATTTCAGGAACATTACTATTTGTTTGCACTGCATTTTTTTTTGCATTATTTTCATGACATTTAAGAACATTTTTGCAAAATGAATGCCAAAAATCGAATTTTCATAACTAATGCAAAAAATATATATTTATTATTGTATATATTTAAACTGCAAGGTACTTATATGACATTGTAGTGTGTTTTTTCTATTTGTGCTGCTATAAATAAAAAACAACAGTATCTACTATTGGGAATAATGCGTATTAGAGAAAAAAAATAAAAAAAGATGTATTTTTTAAATTGCTATGTATTTACACATAATTTAAATATGTAAATTTATTACGTAATACTTCAAAAAAAAAAAACTGCATCCAGCTTTGGGAATAATGAATATTGCTTACAAATAAACATATAAATGTAAAAATGTGAGGAGAGAGAGAAAAAAAAA